TCTCTCAAGATATCTTATGGACTGTAATTTATTATAGGTAAAATTTATTTCTTTTTAGTATAAGAAAGAACAAAAATACACATTTAAAGCTATGCATACAAAGGCATTTTTAGAGATGTAGGACCCTAAATGCACAGCTTATATTCCTGCCAGGAGTTTATCTATAGAATCTTTTAAAACAAACAAACAAATCACCCATTTTTTTTTAAATAATAGAGGTCTATCATGCTTTCCCAAGTTGAAAAACTGCATTGTAAGCTCCATTCTTCATCAACAGAGGTAAGAAAACAAATATTTTTTAAAATATCCTTTTTTTCAACAATTGACATATTTATACTTATACTGTAAGACTTATTTTTTCTGGTAGTCTTTGCCACAAGAAGCAAATTAAGTTAATTTAAAACTTGAGTTTATTTTAAAACTTACTATGTAAATTGATAAATGCATGAGGTGATGGATATGCTAACTACCCAGACTTGATCATTATACAATGTATACATATACTGAAACACCAGATTGTACCCCATAAATATGTACAATTATAAAGTGTTGATTAATTTTTTTAAAAAATGAGCCTGGCATACAGGACCAAAAGAAGGAAAGAAACAATAAACTAGCTTTGAACTGATTTCTAACACTCTTTTGAAGTACCTCTGAAACACCTTTCATCTACTTTTAAATAGCAAACCATTTCTAACAGAGTAAAACAATTTAAAAGATAGAGGGATACCACTGCTAGATGAAGTACAGGCTGCATCAAGATCTCTACACACTGTGTAAACAAGTCTTCTACAGAAACGGGAGGGGAAAAACATTGATGTGAGTCATTCACAAGATTAGTAGTAATCAAGAATATATTCCAAGAATGTATTCTGATATATAAGTACTGCTGATTTCATCATCAAGAAAAGACTAGCATTAATAATCATATGGACTAGTAATTTCAAAGTCCAAAAAAAGCGAGAGACACCACCTGAAATAAGGAGAAAAGTCTACCTTCAGCCCCAGAAAATCCTTCCTTCACCATGTGAATCTGGTCACATTATCACCTTACTCTCAATTCACGAATGAATCTCCCTGTCCACAGAACTGAACTCCTCAAACCCTACTTGATAGTCCACCGTCTCCCTTTCTGCTTTCCCTTCCTGCTGCTGGACCCTCCCAGCAGGCTTAAACACTTGTCCTCTTCCTGCCACTCCACTCTATGTAATTCTAGTAAAGCAATTATTTTTTGAAGTGTAATAATTATTTCCCACATCTCACCACCACCTTAGTAAATAAGAAGCTACTTGAGGACAAAGACCATTTTTTTAACTACCTTTGCCTTTCTAATAGCTAATATAATGGCTGATCCTTAGTCAATAAATAATTCCTTAATGAATAAGTGAACTATTGAGTGAAATGGTCTATAATAGAGATCATAATAAAGTAATTCAATTCTTATTTTTTAAAGTAAGAATTATAAGATTCGAAGTCTTCCAGATTTCAGATTTAACCAAAAAGGCAGAATATGACACAAATATTTAAAATTAAGAATTAAAATTGCAAGAGAAATTCGCTGTTTTGAGATTGGTCATTCTCAAATAATAACTGAAATGATCACTCTCCCTTATAAAAATAAAATGTCAAGATTTTAATTTTGAAAGAGTATGTATCAACTATGGATAGGACTATAAATTACTTTTAAAGACCAAACTTTTACAATAAAAAAAGAAGTATACAAAAATGTTTTCTTACTTATCTTTAAAAAGAAATGGATAATTTCTTGTGAATTATAAACTTTCTATTTAGAAACAATTGGACTCTTCCATCATTAAATTCTTGGTTTTGTTCTTCGGTTTGTGACATTCGCATAGAAAACAGTTATCTTTGTTTCTTAGGAGATCATCTGCTTCTAAAATGAGATGTATTTATCTTCTTCAGAAATAATTTTCCCTAATTGTGACACAACTAATTTTGTTATTCTAAATATGGGACATCATCATCCACGGCAAATGTATAGCAGGGGTAATTGAACTCCGGAGAAACAAAGAATGTGTTTTTCATGACATTTACAAAAACAATACTATTCTAGAAAATATGATCTTGTATTTGAATAAACAAGGAACAGTGTTTCTAAAATTTTACCTAATTCAACCACAAAAATAGAGAATTTTAAATTCCAGATTTTAAAACAGAGAAAATTATATCTTTGGCAAGAAAATAATCACTGGAAATTTACTGTATTTTAAGTGAAAGCGCTTATTTAAAATAACTCCACATTTTTAAAAATGTAAATTTAATCCACAGTTGAAAAGAAACTGTTATAATAATAAACCAGCATAAGTTGCTATATGTATAAGAATGCTAGGATTATTATGAATTTATTTTATTTCCTAATTTCTTTTGATTATTTTTTCCTATTGAGCATTTACAAAACATTCATTTTGAAAAACACTTATATACATCTATAGCTGGCCTTGAAATTGTGACTTTCTTGGGCCATTATATGGGTATAATATTGGGTCAGAAAAGACTTTTACAGTGACCCAATAGTTTAAAAGTAACAGTGAGCTATAAATTCAAGCTAGTCAGAATCCTGATTATAGTTTTTCCTCCTCCTTGTGTACAGATTACATTAAAAATTCTGATCCTCTACTCTATCTCCACTTAAAAAATCAAGTTTGCTATCTATCACAAAAAGTCATTCAAAATATTAAATGAAACAGTTGTGCTGCACTTACATAGCCTGTGGCACACAAAGATACTCAATAAACAATCCTCACCCACACAAGATGAATGCCTTTCTATTTGGCTCTAACTAGTGGGTCTTTGGGAAAGTCATGATGCATTTTAGCATAGAAAAACAAAAAAGTCACAACCTTCCTGTTCCTGATGGCCTAATTAAACTCTTTGAGGTTTGAGGGGAAAATTAAGCTTACTTTTGCCTCCAGGTTTTCATACTAGCTGCTCTCCCTGTTCAGAAGGCTCTTTTCCTGTATGTTTGCAATCTATGCCTCCTCTTTATCATTCAGATCTCTGGACAAAAATCACTTTGCCTGAACAGCCTATCTGTTAAGAGATTCTATTTTCCGGTATGACAGCAATAGTATCTCCCATTTCACATGGTCTTGTACGAAAGAGAGGTGAGGTCTATGTTTCTACCCCTTAAATCTGTGGAGGCTTACAGCTACTTCAATGAATAACCCATGACAGAAACGGTGTGACTTCTGGAGCTGAGTCATAGAAAGAGATGACACAAATGTTCATAGCAGTACTGTTCATAATAGCCAAAAATTGGATAAAACCCACATGTCCATCAACCACTGGAAGAATAGACAAAATGTGGTAAATCCATTCAACAGAACATTATCCAGTCAAAAAAAGAAGTGGACCAGTGATAACATGCTAAAACATGAATGGATCTTGAAATCATTATGCTAAATGAAAGAAGCCACAGAAGACTCCATGTTGTGTGATCCCATTTACTTGAAATGTCCAGAACAAGCACATCTACAGGGACCGAAAGGAGTTTAGTGGCTGCCTGAGGAGAAGGGAGAATGGGGAGCTAATGAACACAAGGTGTCTTGTTGGGGTGATGAAAATCAAGATAGCAAGGAAGATGGTTGTAGGACTCTGTGAATGTACTAACAAACACTAATTTGACTTTAAAGGAGTGAATTTTATGGTATGTAAATGTTATTCCAACTATACAACTATAAAAAATACATTAAAAATTTATTTTTTTAAAGTTAATCAGCCTTGAATGGCTTACTAAGCTAAAAAATAAATAAATAAAAGATCAATTCAGCTTTGTTGTCCCCTAGACATTTACTTTTAGAGCTCAGAAGCAAAGAAATTTCACTATTCTTTAAAAGCATTTTCATTATGAGGAAGCCTGGGCTATAGAACGGGGCTATATATATAAGTGCTCCTGTCAGCAGTCCAAATAAGACATCAGTGGATAGCCAGCAGCCACTATCAGACCTATGAGTAAAGATGCTTTCAGATCATTTCTACTTCTTGGGCCAGTCATCTCCTCAGTGCAGTCTTTCCCGTGGAGACCTCATACATTCAGAAAACCCATGACATAAAATGACTATTTTTTACCACTAAATACTGAGGTAGTTTGTTATACAGCAACAGTAATTGGGACATTCTAAAATACCTACCATACCCACACTCTTTATCTTGCCTTTTTTTCATGCACTTAAGACACTGTTACTTTTTTAAAAAAAGAATTATTTTACTTATTAATTATCATTATTTTTATTTGACCAGAGAGAGAGAGAGGAAAAGTAAGAAAACAAGCCACCAAGTCTGAGACTTGAACCACGGGCCACCATGTGGGAATCCAGAACCCTAAACACCATGCCAATTGCCGGCCCCATTAATGTTATTTTTATTCTGCCTTCCCCCAGCAGAACTAAGCTCTTTGAAGGAAGGATCCTTCTATCTTGTAATAAAATCTCCCAGAAAAATACTTACATATGGTAGATACATAATAAATATTTGTTGAATAAACAAATTGATGAAGTGGAATCCTCAGCACAGGATACTGGTTTGTAGCTTTCTTTGACATAAATTCTAAAATATAGCTGCTGTCATTTTACTACTTTTCCTAATAAAATACTTTCTGATACTTAAGTATAAAAATCCACTCAACACTGTAAATCCAATAATCAGTTTCTTTGCTTCTAAGAAACATCCAAGATGGTTTATAAAATTATAAACATTCTTGCTGAAGTCATTCAAGTATTCTGTTTTAATAAATGAATCAAGAAATAAAATGTCTATGGCCACACTGATTTAATGTGCTTTAGTGAGTGCCTTTGTGCTTATAAAGTTTATAAAACTTAATTTCTATATATTCTTAATCCTGTAATACAGGAACACAATAAATTTGATTCAAGTTAAAATTCAGGTAAGTGTATCATGCACTATATTTGTTTTTAATACTTATGAAATGTTACCTTACACAACATTCTGTCAATGTTATGTCCCTATGAACTGAGGCCTACCTCTGGTGCCAGGTACTCAGGTGTACCACAGAACGTCTTCATAGTGGCTGCATCTGTGATCCCTTCTTTGCAAAGTCCAAAATCTGTTATTTTTATGTGGCCATCTTTATCCAGCATCAAATTCTCCAACTGTATATTAAAAAAAAAAAAATGCACAATTTGTTCTAGAATCTTCAACAGTAGGAAAATACTGTTTTAAAAATTATTGAATGCTGAGTAAGGTATTTTGGAAAGAGAACATAATTGTAGTTAATGTAACTTTCAATACTTACAACCCTGCAGCTTCATGAGTAAAAAGAAATGTTTTATCAAACACTTTATAATGATAAAATTACAAATTTTTCTTCAAATGGGAAA